CACGCACGCGCGTTTAACATTTCATATATTATCTAAAAAAAATGAATAAAAACAAAAGGAAAACCTTACCTTAGCCGACGCATTTAGTCCTCTGACGGACTTCAGAAACCATATCGACTAAGTTGTCCATTTACATATATATATATACATACAAAAACACACACATATATATATATATATATATATATATATATATATATATATATATATACACACACAAAAACACACATATATAAATATACACACACAAAAATATTTTTTTTTTTTCATATATTCATATATATATATATATATATATATATATATATATATACAAAAAACACACATATATACATATACACACAAAACAAAACATATATTCATATATATATATATATATATATACACATAAAACACACAGACATATATACATATACACACACAAAAAAACATATATATATATATATATATATATATATATATATACACAAAAAAACAGACATATATACATATACACACACAAAAAAATATATATTCATATATATATATATATACACATAAAAACACACAGACATATATACATATACACAAACAAAACAAAAATATATATATATATATATATATATATATACACAAAAAAACAGACATATATACATATACACACACAAAAAATACATTCATATATATATATACACACACAAAAACACATATATACATATACACACACAAAAACACATATATACATATACACACACAAAAAAACACATATTCATATATATATATATATATATATATATATATATATATAAAAACCTAAGACAATCCAAAACACACATATATACATATACACACACAAAAAACACATATTCATATATATATATATATATATATATATATATATATATATACACACACATAAAAAACATATATATATATATATATATATATATAGTTATATACACAAAATATATTTCATATATATATATATATTTATATACACAAAAACATATATTCATATATATATATATATTTATATACACACAAAAACATATATTCATATATATATATATTTTCGCCCTACACAAAAACATATATTCATATATATATATATATTTATATACACACAAAAACATATATTCATATATATATATATATTTATATACACAAAAACATATATTCATATATATATATATATTTATATACACACAAAACATATATTCATATATATATATATATATATATATATATATATATATACACACAAAACACATATTCATATATATATATATATATACACAAAAAACATATTCATATATATATATATATATATACACACAAAACACATATTCATATATATATATATATACACACAAAACACATATTCATATATATATATACACAAAAACACATATTCATATATATATATACACAAAAAACATATATTATATATATATATATATATACACAAAAACATATTCATATATATATATATATATATACACACAAAACACATATTCATATATATATATATATATATATACACAAAAACACACATATTCATATATATACACACAAAAACACATATTCATATATATATATATATATACACAAAACACATATTCATATATATATATATATATTCTTTCAAACGCTATTTCTGGTTTTATAGTCATATTTGAATAGACACTCCGTTTTTTAAATAGTGCTTATTTCATATAGATATATATATATATATATGTATGTGTGTGTGTGTGTGTGTGTGTGTGTGTGTGTGTGTGTGTTAAATTTCTCAGAATAATTCTAAAGATAAGACAATTTGAATAAAAAGAAGACATTTGGGAAATATATTTCTTAGTCATTGCTGGTGCGTTTCGTCATTCCGACTTTACCAAGGCACGTTACATTTTTTACTTACATCAAAATCAAAATATTAAATGAAAGCTCCTTTGTAAGCCTACTTCTTGATATTGTTAAGTTTTTTCTTATTAAAAAATTCTTAGTAAAAAAAAAAAAAATTTCCAATATCCAGAATGAGTCTTACAAAGTAACTCTCCGTTTTTAAATATATTTGATTTTAATGTGAATATTAAAAAAATTTCGCTTTTTAACTTGCCTGACTTTACCAAGGCACGTAAATAATCGGATTGACAAAACTTAAAAACAAACAAAAAACAAATATTTTTCAGTTATCTTTTTTTTTATCCACATATATATATATATATATATATATATATATATATATATATATATAAGCTAGAGAGAGAGAAAAAAAGAGACAGAGAGAGGGTGGATTTATGAAGGATACTGAATGATTCTTGCCCTGATCAACATAATAGAGCCATAAAAAGTAAATTTTATTCCACGTAAGAACATCGCAGTTAAAAGTCACGTGGCATATAGTGCCTCAATGTTTCTTAACTTTTCTGTGGAAAACGTTGTTTGGTCTTTGAGATACTAGTTTTGGGAAGTCGATTGACAAAAGTACTTTTCATCACCCCAGTCGTATACAAAAATCCTGAAAGAAAATCGATACACTACATCTTACTTATTTTTAAAATTGGATACATCGCTTGTTCGCATACCAATTAATTTTTGTATAAGGTTATAAGTCATCTAATGGCAGAGAATTATGTGGGTGTCTGTCAATAATAAGTCATTGCTTTCAAACACAAATCATGTATTTATTATTATATAATGTATGCTTACCTATATGTGGCAGTGTTTGTATGTGCATTTATACACACACATTTAAATATCCTCAAATATAAGAAAAAAATAGAAAAAAATAATGACGGCTTTTATTTCCCCATGCCGTAATTTAGTTATATTTTCAATATTGATACACAGGAAATACACAGAATTGCCAGTTAAAAATAGTAATCAATGGGTTCATATATAGCAAACGTTTGGGAGTATTTCGTTTCAGTGTTTCCACAGTCTGGCTAGACATTTTAAATTCACTGAATTTGGCGATGGAGAATTAAACATCAGGTTCTTCTTTTTTTTCAAAGCATTTCATATATATATATATATATATATATATATATATATATATATATATATATATATTATAAATGCTACTTTGGTTTATGCGTTGAGGTTATCAAATGTAATAGCGTGTTCTGAGAGCATTTATCTATTATACATTTAACCATTCAAGAAAAAAAAACGAGACTCCAAATGTGCATCAACAAGAAAATATATATTCAAACAATAACATACAAAAGAATCATGCAATGATGTGTAGTAATTAAGGGAGAAAAACTTGTTTCTCTTTAACTGTATTCTGATTAAGATTGAATGTTCAAAAGAATTTCTCTTGAATAAGAATGTTCTGGATTCTATGTTGAATAGAGTCTGGTGTTAGAACAGAATACAGTTAATTAAGAAGCGTGTTGTTTTGAGAAATTAAGAAAGAGGTGGTTCATGAACTTGGATGAGTCACAGAAAGGAAGATATGTGCAATGTGATACAAAAAGCTGTGTCTGTGTGTGCGTTGTGAGTGAAGTCATGGATTTGTGTAGACAGGCGTAAATAGCTGGACTCTACAAAGTCGGTAAGAGTTGTTGACAATGTTCTAACCGAACGGTTAAGACGGGAGTTCTTGAAGATTACATAATGGCAGTAAGGATGAATGAAAAGAAAAGATGAATGAAAAGAAACACGAGAGAGGTTTATTCGCGTTTGGTATATACAAGGTTGTGTCTGACGTGACAGGCTCCAACGCTTGTGCGCGGAAATATTATTCCTCGCGTGCAGGTGATTTGATAAGTCGGAATTGACCAATCAGCAAACTAGTTTTGAGGAGATTAGCCAATGAATGCTTGCCGTATGATCTGTGTGTATGTATGTGTTTGTGATGGCGATGATGATCGCTAATATATGACGATATATAATTTTGTATAATTTTATATATCAACAAGCAGTATTTAGAAAAATGCGGAGTTAGGTGGCCAGATTTAAAGGGGAATTTGATCTCAGAAATAGTCTGATAACTATGACTGGGTTCTTCTGCTTGTTTGCCAGAGTGAAGAGTTCTGTTGCCTGACATAGGGTTTACCTGCAGCCACGTTCTTGACCCAGTTCCGCGCAACCTCTTCAAGGAACCTGATGTGAGCCTCCCTGTTGTGTCTGAGGCCCTTATCAAGAAATGAAATTCGGAAGTTCTTTTTCATATCAGAACAATCAGAGTTTTCAACGCCGCCGTACATTTGTAATCACCATTAGACTCCTCCAACTCTTTCCGAATCCTTTTCACTGTCCTCAGATTGACACCCAAATACCCTGAAATGTTCGTTTGGAGCTTCTAGCCAGAATGCCGAGAAGCAGAGCATGCCGTTTCCAAATTTCTGGACAAATGAAACGCGTCATGGTGCTCTTTTTCACACAGACGGGGCCCAACTGAATCAACTTTACTGTACAGTCGATAAAATCAAAAACAATCAACGCGCATGCGCAAATTTAAAAATATAAAATGGCGACAATTTACTCATCGCAGCCTGTATATGATGCGAGTATGGCAGGATTGATTCGCAGTTAAATTTATCTCGTAGATTCTCACTAGGCGCTTCAGCTTTGTGCTAGATAAAAGTGATGTTAATAAACAGAATGGAGTGGACAATAGAACGCTTCCCACTGGCACAACGGACAGAATTTCGAGCTCACCTAAAAAACTAGAACATTGACTTTCTTGGACGGTAAATGCCACCCTTTGAAATAAGAGAATCTTGTACCAGGCTAAATTATAATTCCTAAGATTTTTATCTAACATTATATATATATATATATATATATATATATATATATATATGTGTGTGTGTGTGTGTGTGTGTGTGGATAGATAGAATTTAATGAACAGAATGAGATAGATAGATAGATAGATGAACAAATTAGATAGATAGATAGATAGATAGATAGATAGATAGAATTAGATGAACAGAATGAGTTAGATAGATAGAATTAGATGAACAGTACAAATTAGATAGATAGATAGATAGATAGAATTAGATGAACAGTACAGATTAGATAGATAGATAGATAGAATTAGATGAACAATACGAATTAGATAGATAGATAGATAGAATTAGATGAGCAGAATAAGATAGATGAACTGAATCAGATAGATAGATAGATAGATAGATAGATAGATATGAGTCAAATGAGTTAGCTATTTGAATAGAAAAATGCGTATAGAATAACATATATGTTAGTTATGAATAAAGAAGTTGTAGATCGATCTTAATCTAGGAAATTTTTCTCACAGTGTTGTTCGAGATAATTATTATTGCCAGAATCTCTATTACGTATATTATAATTCTACCATTCGTTTGTGCATCTAATATTGCTGCCACCATCTGTTTGGGTCTTCGGCTATGTATTTAAAGATTCTCAGCACAATTCAAAGAAGAATCTGAAAATGCTATCGGTCCTGACCTGACATCTCGGCTTCAGACACCATCCCCTGCCCCACCGTAATGCAGCTTCTTTGTGCATTTCTACAAATATTTTCATGTTCTAATCATTCCTCATTAATACCTCGAATTCACGAATCAACGCCCTTGTGCAATTTATTTCAAACAACCGCTTTAGTTTCCTTTCTTTCATCATACGACCAGTTTTAGACACACTGCAGTGACAGGGTGTAATCGATTTCTATTTTTCCTTAGATTAGGTCATTTGCAGTGGTGTGGAGTAATATGAATTTATTTTCCGGGTGTATGATGTAATTTGTTTGGCCTTGAAATTTATTGCGTCATCTGTGATTGCAACAGATTTTCATCATGCGCAGAAACTATTGTCTCGACTGTCGATCATTTGTCCTACGGTCATCGTCTCCGATGAACGTTACTCCAAGGAGGCGTACGGAAACTATAACGCAACACGAACACACTGGCAAACCGTACCAGTGAGCAAATCAAAATACTAAATTTTCTGATTTAAATCCAATCGAGAATCTTTGGTTAGTGTGCAAGGAACGACTTCGTAGAATGGACATATGAAGTACTAACATGTGCACTGGGGCATCTTTCATTGGAAAATTACGAAAAAAAAAAGTAAATAATAATGGAATTATTAATTTTTTTTCCCTTTAATTTGCACAAGCGTGTAGGTGCAGCACTAGATTAGCAATTAAGTCTCATCATTTTACTGTTAAAAATGCTACATGTACCCGGAAGTTCTATGCCAAAGTTTTCTTCTTTTACACTTATAGCCTGTGGGAGTCCCTGCTGGCTACTTATTTTCCTGTCAGCTGCGGAATCTAATGTCAACCATCATCTTATGTCCCCTTGAAACCAGTTCTTTTATCATCCTTTCTCATCAATAATGAATTTTTTCTTATTCTATAACTCTCAGTAGCTCCTTGTGACTTAGTGACGTTATCACCTTGCTTAGTTTTGAATGATTAAAAACAGATAGATAGATATTGATAGAGTGAAATATATATGATTGTATGTTAGTTATAAATAAAATGTTATAAAAAGAAAGAAAGAAAATAAGTAAGTCTGCATTTGGTTACGTGTCGTTTTGTAAGCTTACAATAGAAATGATTTTTTTCTTGGATTTGTCGCCCTCAGGCGAAGACAGACGCTGACTTGGAAATGTTTTAGTTCAGATATTTTTTTTATAAATGTACTCTGTCTCCATAACAACTAAAAAAATGTAAAACTTTTACTAAAGATACCCAACTCCAAGGCGACTGAAGTGCTCATCGCCACCAACACTACGGCTTATAGTTCAACTACTAATACATTCTGAAGAAGAAGAAGAAGAAGAAGAAGAAGAAGAAGAGGGGGAGGAGAAGGACGAGGAGGGAAAAACGAATTTGAAGAAGAAAAGAAAGAAGAAGAGAATCAAAAACAAGATAAAAGGAATCACATGAATTATAAGAGGAAGAAGTCTCGGATGAAGAAGAAAAAGAAGATGAAATGGATAATGAAGAAAAAAACGACGAAGAAGAAGATGATGAAGAACAGAATGATGAAGAAAAAAGAATGCAGAAGAAGACGATAAAAATAGAACGAGGGAGAAAAAGAGAATGGAAAAGAAGAAGATGAAAAGAGACTGCGGAGGAACAAGAGAATTGAGAAGAAAATGAAAAGAGAATGAGAAGAGAATGAGAAGAGAATGAGAAGAGAATGAGAAGAGAATGAGAAGAGAATGAGAAGAGAATGAGAAGAAAATGAGAAGAGAATGAGAAGAAAATGAGAAGAAAATGAGAAGAGAATGAGAAGAAAATGAGAAGAAAATGAGAGAAAATGAAAATGAGAAGAAATGAGAAGAGAATGAGAAAGAAAATGAGAAGAGAATGAGAAAGAAAATGAAGAGAATGAGAAGAAAATGAAAGAAAATGAGAAGAAAATGAGAAGAAAATGAGAGAAGAAAATGAGAAGAAAAATGAAGAAAATGAAAGAAAATGAGAAAAAATGAAAATGAGAAGAGAATGAAAAGAAAATGAGAGAAGAGAATGAAGAAAAAAATGAGAAGAGAATGAAAGAAAATGAGAAGAGAAAATAAAGAAGAAAATGAGAAGAAAAATGAGAAGAGAATGAGAAGAAAATGAGAAGAGAATGAAGAAAAATGAGAAGAAATGAGAAGAGAATAGAGAAGAAAAACAGAAGAAAATGAGAAGAGAATGAGAAGAAAATGAGAAGAAAATGAGAAGAAAATGAAGAGAATAGAGAAGAAAATGAGAAGAGAATGAGAAGAAAATGAGAAGAGAATAAGAAAAGAATGAGAAGAAAATGAGAAGAAATGAGAAAATGAAAATGAGAAGAGAAATGAGAGAAAAATGAGAAGAAAATGAGAAGAGAATGAGAAAAAAATGAGAAGAGAATGAGAAATGAAATGAGAAGAAAATGAGAAGAATGAGAAGAAAATGAGAAGAAAAAATGAGAAAGAAAATGAGAAGAGAATGAGAAAAAATGAGAAGAGAATGAGAAGAAAATGAGAGAGAATGAGAAGAAAATGAGAAGAGAATGAGAAGAAAATGAGAAGAAAAATGAGAGAAGAGAATGAGAAGAAAAGAAGAAATGAGAAGAAAATGAGAAGAAAATGAGAAGAAGAATGAGAAGAAAAATGAGAAGAAAATAGAAGAGAATGAGAAGAAAATGAGAAGAAAATGAGAATGAGAATGAGAAAGAGAATGAGAAGAAAATGAGAAGAATGAATAGAAAATGAGAAGAGAATGAAGAAAATGAGAAGAGAATGAGAAGAAAATGAGAAGAAAATGAGAAGAAAATGGAAGAGAATGAGAAGAAATGAGAAGAGAATGAGAAGAAAATGAGAAGAGAATGAGAAGAAAATGAGAGAATGAAGAGAAGAATGAGAAGAAAAATGAGAAGAGAATGAGAAGAAAATTCAGTGAGTAACATGAA